TATCCACTCATCTGTTTCTGGACATCTAGACTCTTTCCATAGTTGGGCTATAGTGGACATTGTTGCTATAAACATTGGGATGCACGTACCCTTTCGGATCACTACCTTTGTATCTTTAGGGTGAATACCCAGTAGTATGACTGCTGGGTCATAGGGTAGCTCTATTTTCAACTTTTTGAGGAACCTCCATACTATTTTCCAGAGTGGCTGCACCAGCTTGCATTCCTACCAACAGTGTAGGAGGGTCCCCCTTTCTCCGCATCCTCGTCAACACCTGTCATTTCCTGACTTGTTCATTTTAGCCATTCTGACTGGTGTGAGGTGGTATCTCATTGTGGTTTTGATTTGTATTTCCCTGATGCCAAGTGATATGGAGCACTTTTTCATGTGTCTGTTGGCCATCTGGATGTCTTCTTTGCAGAAATGTCTGTTCATGTCTTCTGCCCATTTCTTGACTGGAATATTTGTTCTTTGGGTGTTGAGTTTGATAAGTTCTTTCTAGATTTTGGATACTAGCCCTTTATCTGATATGTCATTTGTGAGAAAATTTGCTTTTTTAAGAGGAAAAAGAACCCAAGTGTTTGGATTTTCCATTAGAAAAAAATGTTTTTATTGTAAAAATTTGGGGGAAATACTAAAAGATGTCTAAAGATGAAGGAAAAAGAATCAAATCTAGCACTGCCATCAACAAAGAAGGACTTGCTTCATGGAAAAGACTATGTGAAAAACAACAACAAAAGCCCAAGACAAAACAAACAACAAAGAAGGAAAAAAAAAACAACTCCTCACTGTGAGGGCTGTTTGCAGAGGGGGCCTCTCCCAGGTGGGTCAGATCTTAGGGAGATTTGACAAGGCATCCAGGAGTGAAGCGTACCTTTCCCTTCCCTCCTGAGCCCCCAGTCTCCTTCATTAGGATGCCCACAAAGGGTCCAGAGGCGACTAGCTCTTCACTGCAAATTCAGACAAAATACTGAAAGGTCATGAGTGTGTGTCGACCGTCCCAACCAGCCAGCTGTGATTTGAGAAAGGTTCCACAACTGGCCAGGTGTGGGGCAGGTTAGGGGAGGCTCAGGAAGGTGTAGGGAAGGAGTGCTGCCCGGGCAGAGGTATGCAGAGTTCTCCGTGCAGCCCAAATGCCAAGTGCCTGGGTCAGAACGTGGTGATGCCCATGGCTGAGTAAGCAGGGATTCCAAGCTCTGGCAGAAATGACCTCAGTCCCCATCTGTCCCACAGATGATCGGGGGAGACCGGTTGCTGATCGGGGCATAAGGGCGGCCATCTGGGCTCCCTACCACAAACCAGAGCAGTGTGGTGAGCACAGCAAATAGTTCTCCTCTTATTTCACGATGTTTACAGACTGACGCTTGCTGAGGAAACCTCCACACGCGAGCAAGTCATCTTTTTTTTAAACCTCTTATCTAAACAGTCACAACCAGTCACACAAGCCCAGGACAGGGTTCATTCACTCAAAACACACTGCCCGAGTGGCTGTGACACCACTGGACAGAGGCTCAGCCAGCCTCCACCCCATCCCAGATGCCACACGGGGATCCAGCTGGGCACCCAAGCGGATTTCAGCCTCACAGCATTTGGCGGCTGGGGGGGGGCACTTAAAACAGAAGGTCATGGATGGGTAAAAACTGGAGGGGAGGCTGCCCCAGCTTAAAGAAGCATAAACGGACTAGCAACCAAATGCAGCGTACAGAGTTGGATCCTGATTCGAACAAACCAACTCGAAGGTCCTTTCTGAGACAATCTGGGAATTCTGAATACAGACAGATGAGACCAAAGAACTATTATTCATTTTCTTACATGCAAAAATGGCAATGTGGTTATGCAAAACAAAACAAAACAAAACAAAACAAAAACTTTTAAAAATAGATATATACTGCATTAGATAGGGGGAAAATGACATGGTATCAGAGATTTGTTTTAAATTACTTAAGGAAGAAAGGACAGAAGGGGAGGAAAAGCGAGAGATGAAGCCAGGCCAGCGTAACCTTGACTGCTAAAGCTAGATAAGGAGTGTATGGGGCTCGTTATGCCATGGTCTCTATTTCTGTGTCTGAAAATGTTCATGGATATGGTAAAAGAGAGGACTGCAGTACATTATGATGGACAGCTTCATGAAGATTAGGACGAGAGGCTAAGGGAATATGGAGCAAAGAGCAAGAAGTATTTGTAAGAACCAGGAAAGAAATCTGTTACGTTTGGGAAGTGTTTTAAAAAGCCATTTCATAGCGGGGTAGGAAACCATGTTCACAAAGAATTACAAAAGAAGTTGGAGGAATAGTGAATGCAGTGAGGGAGTTGCCCACACCACCCCTCCAGAGGACAGAACACAGCCACCAGGTTTTCCTGCTTCCTTCAGTCCTTAACTCACCACCTCAATCTCATTCACACAGACTGAGACCAGAATTTTAGCTCGGTTACTAACTAGCCATGTGAGGTGGTGGCGGGGGGGTGTGGGGGGGTTAACCTTCCTCAGTCTCAGTCTCCTCATCTGTAAAATGGGAACAGCCCCAGCAACTTCTTTTGAAGGCTAATGTGGGGACCTACTGATATAAACAAAGAAAAGTCCCAGCGTGATGAACAGTATTCCCTTCTCTGGCTCTTTAAACAATAGAGACTTTTAGTCTTGGAAGGGCTTCTAAGACAAGCAATGTTCAGCCCAAAACTTCTTGCACCCATACCTTACCCCTCCCACCAGAATCAGTGCTCTCTACCAAACGGGCAGGACCTCTCCACTTCAGAAGCAGGGAGTGAAAGGGACTGGTCCGTGGCTGGCAGGCACACCCAGATGAGAGTATGAACATGGGCAAAGAGGAGAAATACGCCCCAGTTATAGGCAAAGGAGGGTTACCCAGCTGATGCTCTGCTCCTTGTAGCTCCTGGGAATGGGGCTCCAATGAACACAGCTAAAACCAGCCTCAGTCTATAAGATGCTTTTTACTAAAGAACAACTGATTGGTATTAAGCTAATCATGATTTTCTTTTAGAAGAGAGGGATGAGCAGAAAGCCAGAGCTCCAGGACTAAAGAAGGAAGGAGCCACACGGAAAAGTGATAGCATTTTTTAATAAGGATATGCTCAAACTGAGGGTCTCAATCACCCTACAATCATAACTAGTATAACTCAACAACTGTCCCCCCAAAACAAAAAAACAGAATTGGATCTAAAGTAGAGGTTATTTCAGCTAATAGCTTCCTAGACCATCCCAGAAGCCAACTTTCAGAAGTGAGACCAATCAATGGCACAAGCAGGCTTCCTCTCCAGACCCTCACCCCCCAGATGGTACCCAAACACCAGCAGGTCAATCTCTCTCCCCAGTAGAGCATGAACAAATACCAGCCATTCATCCCTGACCGGAGGACAGAGTGAGCAAGTCGTCTGCAGGTTGAACAACCTGGAACAACCTGGGCTAACCAGGGTCATTTCAAGAGCTTTGCCGAAGAAGCAGCCTCTGAATCTTTAGACAGAATCTTTTCAAAGGCCAGAAAGCTCCAATCACACACAGGAGCACCATGACCCTGCAGACATCACCTTCTAGGGCCATAAGGCAGCAAGAAGAACACTGAATATAGTTCTGGCAGAGCCTGGTCCAAATCCTGGCTCAGCCACTTTCTGTGTGACCTTGGGCACTTAAACTACCTGAATCTATTTGCCCACATCTAAAATGAGTTAGGTAAAACTGAGTGTTTGGAGAGTAATCATGAAATCCGCTGCAAAAGTGCCACAGGGCAGGACCCATCTGTCCGTAGCCACATAATAAATCTGTCTTCTGCTGGAAGGCAAGTTCTTACTGCAAGGAGTCTTCAGAACATCGGTTGGGGCTGTCCTGGAGACTTGACGTCCACTTGTTGGTCCCGGGAAGGGGACAAGAACAGAGTTGGTCCAGGTGCCAGGCACCCAGGCACATAAACACCAGAGGGCCAACCCCCTGCTGGCTTTCTTTCTGAGGGACCTGCCCACAAGGGGGGCCAGTTAGTGACTTCACACACCCCCCCCCCGGAAACCACAGAAGACTAGAGTGAGCAAGGGAGGCTGAAAGAAAGACACTGCCACCCCAAGCCCCACAAGGCTCGATGGCCGTCAAAATTAAAGCTCTTTTGGCCTTAAGGACCCAGATTACAGAATTAACACTGTGGAAAGAGGCACACAGTTTACTCTGGTTTCAACACGCCTCTTCCCCATTCAGCAAAGGCTATGATTCCCAGCTCTGCCCGGAGGCTGGTCTAGGATAAAGTTAACCCCACTTGCTCCAGTCTGGAAGCCAGGTCAACAAGGGCAGACGCTGCCGGCAAAACCCTACTTCTACCCAGGTTTAGCCGGATGACAACAAAGCGGGAGCCAGAGACGTCCTTGCCGGGCGCTCCCAGGCCTGGGGTGCGCCTGGGCTGCTGGGGGGGCACACTACAGAAAGGACAGCTCCGAGGTCCCCTGGCCACCTCCACACCGCGCCCCAGACTCAGTCCCAATCCCAGCCCGCAGGCGGCCAGGCCACTGACTTTTGGCCCAACTTAACTTCCTGTTGTTAAGGAGGGAGGAGAACCAGGGCGGGCAGGGGAGCGCCCAGTGAAGAGCCAGGAAAGAGCAAGAACAGAGCGGAGCCCAAATTATGGGAAAGCAAAGTTTGGGAACGGTCTGCCCCTGCGGCATGCGGTACTGCTGGCCCGTCGCGCCCGCTCCGTGTTGACGTTTGGCGATTTTCTCGGCTTAGAATTGCAGGGTTTGGGTGCTGGGGCGGAGTGGGAGGTAGTTCGGGGTCCGGGTGGCAGGCTTTTATTGCGTTCTTATCGATTCCGAGACCTATCAGTCAGCCCCGGCCTCCCCGGGCAGGGCCACCGGCTTGCCGGGCGCCAGCAGGGTGGGTTTGAGGCGAGAGATGCTGCGGCCGCACCTGACTGCCCCGGCGCGGGCCAGGGCGCAGAGTCCAGGCTCGGCTGCCACGGTCCCAGCCCGAGCCTCCCTCTCTGGAGCCCCGCACCTCCCCCCCTTACCGAAATCCGCGCCAGCCACCGAGCTTCAGGTCAGCTTCCTGCCTTCGCCTCGGGCCGCGGACCCGGCGGTCAGGACCCGCAGGCTGCCTGCAGAGCTGGGAGCTGGAGAGGCAGCACCGCGCAGCCTTAGTCAGGCGAGCGCCTGCAGTTCTGCGCCGCGCGGCTGTCTGCGCTGGGAGCCGCCCCCATCCGCGGCGCGGCCAATGGCAAAGCGGCCGGGGGCGCAGTCCGCCCCCGACAAGAGGCCCGCGGCCTATGGCAGTGCGGCGCGGAGCCCACCCCCGCTCCACGCCCGCTCCGCCCCCGTGGGGCCAGCTGTCACCGCGTCTGCCGGCGGGCGCACGTGGGCTGCAGCGGTGCCCCGAGCTCAGGGAGTCCTGGGCGCTCCCACTCAGACCAGCACAGATCTGCAGACCAGCGGGGAGGCCGATGGAGGCGGGACGTAATGGTGCTGCTAGATGAAAACCTGGGTACTAGTATCCCAGTGTCAAGGGAGAGGCAGGGGCTGGGCCTCATGCTTCTTGGCCTGGGCCGCTGGAAAGCAAGCCTCAGCTTCCCCTTTTTGAAGTGAGGGAGCAAGCTTGGCACTTCCTGTACCGACTGTGGACCTCCCTCTTTGCTTTGCCTCTTAACCACCGGGGCTTCAGCAAATGCCTTTAGGTGATAGGCTCTTCCCCCCCCACCTGGACTGGCCTTGCTTGGAACGCAGCTCATGGGAAGACGGGCGGTAACGCAGACCACCTGTGTGACCTTTGTCGCGTCACCTAAGCACCTTCTTCTCTTGGCTGTCAAATGGCCGCCTTAATCTCTGCTCTGCCTGCGTTCCTGCGTTGCCCATAGCCCCCAGCTGCAGAGTGCACCATCCACAGAAAACAGTGTGGACAGTGTGGGGCCGAGTGACGAGTACAAAGCAGCTCCCTACACCGTACTCTTACTCAGCCCTGGAGTCCAGGCTCTAGCACCAGCTGGGCCCAGTCCAGGCATCCATAAATATTCTGGGAACTGAACAGACCCAGGAGAGAACAGGCAAGCTTGGGCAGTGTGAAAAGAAGGCTGTGGCTCCAGGCTGCTGGAATTTCCACAGCTCCAGACCACCCTCTAGAGAGACTGTGTTCCCTTGCCAGGCACGTTCAAACAGAGCAGCTTGGCCCCATCAAACCTGGGGCTTACTTTGTTCTCTCTGCTCCTTACCAGGGGATTCTACTCCAGGCCTTTTGGGGTTTCCCAGGGATTGTCCTACCTGGTAGCTCTCAGCATCTTCAGAGTATAGTCAACTTCCTGTAGATGAATTTCAGCAAAAGCTGTCTCTGCTCAGACTGTAGAAGTCAGCAGTGACTTCCAGAGGGGCAGCGCTCCTCTGATGGAAAGCTGCCTGCGATGCCCATGGATGGAGTGGTCTCTGTGCATGTTTTCTCAGTCCTGATGATGACTCTGCAAGGTCTGTGTTTTTGCCATCGTTCCCTTTAACAGATGTGGAAACTGAGACTCAGGAAGGGAAAGTAACTTTTCAAGGTCACATGGTTAGTAAGTAACAGGGTCGGAATTTGAGCCTAAAGCTATCTGATCCCAGCCTCTGCATGCCTAACTACTGTGCACTGGGGCAACTACAGCCCTTCTCGTGGCCCAAGAGCATGGTACAGGACACCTCTATCTCTAAAAGAACTGCTCTAGGGACTGAACTGCCCAAACATTCTGTTGAGCCCAGGTCTGGGCACTTTTAGGGCCAGATGAAACAAGCATGGCCCTGCTTTATTTACAGACTGCTACAGGAAACCCTAGACAGAGAGGAGATTCAGGAAACAGCATTGCCCCTGCTCCCAGCACAAAGGAAGAGTCTCAGACCCAGGCCTCTTCCTTCTGGCCTGGGTCTGAGACCCCCCTGCTGGGGATGGAGATGGAGATAATCATTCATTCAATTCAGAAAAGCTACTGTGAGCTGGATGTGGTTCCTTTAGTCATGTCACTTACAAAACAGCTGATAAATAACCAGAAGTATAAGGGGCTACAGAAGCTCTATATTCCTTTTATAATTCCCACCACCTTATCTCTAGCACGATGTTCTCCAAGTTAAACACATTTAACACTACTTCAGGAACACTTTGGGCCAACCAAGTTTTGCAAGAACACTGTTCAGTATAGAAGTTCTAGTAGCTCAAAAACTAAAACTTATCTGTGTCTTCATAGGAGCTTTGCCTCTTCTCCCTCAACCAACCTTTTTGTTTTGCTTTTCCACACCCCACCTTTTTACCTCAGGGGCTCAGGCAAGAAAGACCCTTGCTAGGTGAGATTTTAGGGCAACTTGGGAGCTCATGGGGGCTCAGTGTATGGACGGAAATAAGCCTTGGGACCTCTCAAGCCAGGGCCCCTCACCTCCACACACAAGCCACCCTTCCTGGCCATCTCGCTGGAGGGTAGAGAGAAACGGGGACAGGAGATGACAATTCCACCCCCTCTAGACCCAGTAGCAACCATGGCATCTCCCACTGGACTGTGTGTCTGAGAGTTTATACAACTAAGCTCTTCAAAGAGAAGAAGGTCATGCAAAGTTAGAAAGGGCCACAGAGGAAATACCATCTAAGCCCCTCACTTAACAGATTAAAGAAATTTAAAAAACAAATGGAGCCCCAGGGAAGGGAAGGTGCTTGTGAGTGTCACGGAGTGTGGGAATGGGTTCCAGGGTTCCGGAGGCCCTGGCCTCCCTCTAAGCACACAGGCAAACTCAAGATCCTCGTGCCGTGGCTCAGTAGGCTATATTTAATAATAATCTCTTCCCCAGCCCACTCTTCTCAGGACGGTGGATGTGTGCTGCTGAAGGTTGTCTGGGAGATGCAGATGGCCACATTAGCATCAGAGGGAGGGAGAGAAGGCAGGCCCAGATTCATCCCTAAAAATATCTGCATCTCAGACTGGAAGCCATGGGTCTACCAGCATGTACGTGTCTCCCTCGAGAAAACTTCAGCTGGTGATCTCCATCATCATTGGTTATCTACCTGACGGTGTTCCAAGAGGGCTGTGGGGGTGTCAGGCCTGGCTTCTTTTTATTTCAAGCCTAGCAATTTGCTTGAAGAAAGGTCAGAGTTGAAGTAAGTGGATTCCCGATGCAAAGATTTTCTGTGGAAAAGCCAGGGTGCCTCTCAGGGCATTTGAAGGGCAGGGGAAAAGTTAGACCACCTGTGTCTCCCCCTCCAAATGAGAAAGGGTCCCTGTCCTCGGACCCTTTCCTCATGTACTTACATTCCAGGAAGGGGTAAAATAGTGATTATGGTTCTCACCAGTTCCTGCCCATGCTGCCATCAAAGGCCTTTGGGCTTTCAGAGGAAGTGGAAGGCTGGTATCTGTACAAAGTCCGATGACCTTCTTAAATGATGAGAAAAAGCTGATTGGCCCAGGGCCACCTTGGGAGCTATCTTGGGAGAAGGATTTTCTAAGCCAGGAAGTGGAAACATTTGTACCTCCCTCAAACAAACACAGGAGTGTGTGAGAAGGAAGATCACTGAGGCCTTGTTCTAGCTGGTTATCTTCCTGATAGGCCCCAGAATGCTCTGTTTCATAGATAAGACATATAAATATTTTCAAGGTCACTAGGCGCTCAACAGGCCCACCACATTTTCCAGAGACAGGTTAGGGGAGAAATGGCACCTGTCAACATCAGCAAAGCCCTCAGAGAGACTGTAGCACTTTTGGGAATGGATGTCTGTTGGCAGCAATGATGGGAAACTCCGTGCTGAAGAGCTGAGAGCAGATAGGAGATGGCATACCAAAGCAGAGACAGAGTAGGTGTGCAGAGGGTGAGAGGAAGAGACACAAGGTTCTGAAAGTAGTCTAGCCCCAGCCCCAAACTGCCTGGGGAGTGTGTGTGTGTGTGTATGCTCATGCGCACGCAGGCACGTATGCTCAAAGCCAACTGTGAAATATGAGGGCATAATTCTGGTCCTTAGAGAAACAAGAGGTTAAACAATGCTACAAATGCACCCTCAAGGCAGGCTTGGGCACACCTGCAGCTCAGGCAGACTGCTGTTCATGCAAACCAGAAGCCCAGTCTAGAGCACTCTGGTCACCGAATGGAGCTAGGGAGGCAGCTCCCTAACCCTCCACAGTGCAACTGGCTGGGAGCAAACACAGGGATACTCTTCTCTGCTCTGGCTCATGGGGGGCAGGGCACTCACTCAAGATTATGTCTATCCATCCATCCATCATCTATCAACCCCTCCAATACGCATAGTGCTGTTATTCTAAGAGATGTCCTAACTAGGGAGTTAGTAACATAGTCTCTGAAGTCAAGATGTCTGAGTTTGAATCTCAGCTCTGCCACTTGTTGACCGTGTGACTTTGGGCAACTGACTTAAGCTCTCTGGGCAGCAGGTTCCTCACCTGAAAGGGGAATAGTAATAAGGAGATGTGTGCATAGTACAGTGCCTGGTACATTGTAACTGATGTATAAGGGGTTTTGAATAATAAATTGAGGGCTGATGATAATAGGGCTATAGAGAACAAGAGTGTCTAAGAGGCAATGTTATGAGCAATTCCAGGTCGGGCACATGGCCACTTGCATCACTGAACTTGACTGTTTGAAGTAAATACAATTATCATCCACACCTTAGAGATGAGACAATGGAATCTTGCAGAAGTGAAGTCACTTGCCCAAGCTCTCCCAGGAGCCAGCATACGGCCGGCCGGGTGAATCTGCCTCACTCACCTCTGAGCCTGTGCTCTATGCACTCTCCTGGTTACAAGACTGGGCACAGCTCCCGGGCCTGGCCAACTGTAGAACCTAGCGGTGACGGGCCCAACAGACACACCTGTGGTCCAGGCAGATTCCATCTACAGGAACAGTGTATAGATAGAGCGGTCTCTTTCCACAGAAGTCAGGGAAAACTGTCAGTGTGTTCCACATGCAATAAAAGAAACCCAACCACGACAGGAGAGAAAGAGACTCCTAGAACAGAAGAGGCCGGAAATAAGAGCTCTTGCTACCTTTCTTTGTAATTCTCTCGGCTCCTCCAACCTCTGTGTTGGCCTTGTCTTCAGACTGAGGTTTTCCTCATTGAGGCCAGTGCCAACGGCTTTTGTTGCCACAAGCAACCTTATCCCAAAGAGAATATTTCTGACCCAGCATTCCAAGTAGGAGTCCTGGATTGGGTCACATGCTCACCTGAA